GTGGTGGAGCGTGTCCGCTGCATGTTCGGGAGGCCCCTGATGGCGTCCCATGCTGCGGTCTCATGGGGCCAATACGGCGCCTCTGGCTGCTGGGTACAGCCTGCTCCTGCTGGCCATGCTCCAGTGTCTGGGGTGTGCAGGGCAGAGCCAGGACCTGGCTCTGGGGTGGCTGGTGGCGAGGGTGACAGAGCTGGCAGTGTCTCGGGATGGGTGTCACTGCGCAGCCACGGCAGAGCTGGTGGGGCTGGCTGTGCTCCAGGCACCGGGTGTCCCTCAGGGAGAAATGTGCCCTGCTGGGTTCCTCTGCCAGGTGCTCACACTATGTCGTGGTCACTGGAGGCCGGTGCTCAGAGGGTGTTTGCAGACCCCGGCTCCGCAGGGCTGTGCCGGCAGGACCTGCTCTGGGCGCTCCTGTGGTGCCAGGCTGGGTGTCGGGGTGGGGGCTGCACTGACCGTGCAGCGTGCTGGGTGCACGCAGTGTCAGCCCCTCCCCGCCGTGCCCGGGCGATGGCTGCTCTCTGCTGCTCCAGTTTCTCCCTGCGATCTGCGGCCAAGGCAGCACATGGAGGGCCACTAAGCCTGTTACATCAGCCCTGCACTTGTAATCCCATCAAAAACATTATCAAGTTACTTTGACACGATCCACTTTCCTTAAACCTGTGTTGATCAGCATTAATTATATTACCCTCTTAATTATTTGCTACTGCAGTCCCATGTCAAGTGTTCCAGTATCTTGACGGGACGATGCCAGCGGCAGGACGGACCTGCTCTGGTTGCCCCCCCGCGCCGCTGGGCGTGTCCCCAGGCCGGGTGTTCCTGCACATCCGTGATGGGCTGGGGATGCCCTGTCCCTTGCCTGTCCCATGCCAGCAGCCCCGGCTGCTCAGTGGGGCCAGGGCGGGGGGGGGCAGCGCTGCCCGCCCCTGTGCTACCTCCCTTGGGGTGGAGGGTGCTGTGCCGGGTGTGGGCGGCTCTGTGGCACTTCCTCATGCCATCCGTGCTGCCCGGCCTCCCACCTCCTCACAGAGAACCTCTGGAGCTCGTACCTGACCAAGGGCGTGATCGTGGAGAAGCGGGGGCTGCCCTCCGTGAGCCCCCCCGACACCCCGGTGGACATGGACCAGCCCTACGTCTTCAGTGACATGACCTCCTACTTCACCCTGCTCGTCGGCATCTACTTCCCCTCGGTCACAGGTGGGAGCCATTGCCAGCCCTGCTGGCGTGCCGTGGGGCACCGGCTGGGGGGGGGGGCCCCCGGGCGCCCCCCCC